CTATTGCAATGGTTTATTATCTGGATGTCCAAATACTTCTTTAAAACATCTTCAGTTGATCCAAAATGCTGCTGCCAGAGTCTTAACTGGAGTTAGGAGAGATCATATTTCTCCAGTTTTAGTTTATCTCCATTGGCTCCCTGTCAAATCCAGAATAGAATTCCAAATCTTACTTTTAACCTACAAAGCTCTCAACAACCTAGCTCCATCTTATTTACAGATCTTATTGTTCCATATTTTCCTAACAAAGCACTTTGCTCTCAGACTGCAGGCTTACTTGTGCTTCCTAGAGTTTCCAAAAACAGAATGGGAAGAAGATCTTTCAGTTATCAGACTCCTCTCTTGTGGAAACACTTCCAGTTTCTGTCCGTGAGGCTGACACATTGTCCAGTTTTAAGACTGGGCTTAAGACTTTCCTTTTTGATAAATTATTTAGTTCGGGTTGGCTTGGGTTTCCTGAACTATCCCTTAGTTCTGCTGCTATAGGCTTAGACTACTGAAGGACAAACTGACCACATGTCCTCTCTCTGTTGCTGACTTTACTTGCTCTACTCCACCTGTTTGTCTTTGTAATTATTTCTATCTTAACAGGTTTTTTGTCTTTCCTCCTGTTGAAACTACACCTGGACCTGTCGTTCTGTGTCTGTTTCTACTTCCTGTCCTCTCAAACCCAGCCCGTCGAACCAGATGGCCGCTCGTTCTGAGCCTGGTTCTACTGGAGGTTTCTTCCTTTTAAAAGGGAGTTTTTCTTTCCACTGTCTCCTTTGTGCTTGCTCAGAATGGGAGACTGTGACGAAGTAAAGATTCAACAAGTCTGCTGCTTCCTTAGATAGAGAACTTTACTAATTGGCTTTTGTATGTATGTGAATGTTTCTATTCAGTGCCCTGAGACAACTTCTCTTGTGATTTGGAGCTACATAAATAAATTGAATTGAATTGAATTAACGAAAACATTAAAGAGTTCTGATAATAAATTTTGGTCCGAGGGGTGCAGAGTCAAACTCATAACAGGAAATGCAGTCCAACTCAAGGTCAAATAGAAGCTTTTAGGTTAGAATTACAGCCACGTTTGGGCTAGGTTTTCTTTTAAAACAAAGTCGACACATCTGCATTATCGGTCTGTCTGGCTGCATTTATCTGTTGTCCAAAACGTTCACACACAGGAGCAGAGGAGAGCAGCCCTTAAACAGTTTCATTTAGATTTCACATCTGATGGGGTTAGTGCAGACAGCTGGAAAACCCAACCATAAAATCCAGCGTGTGTTTGTATACGTAGCTACTTGGTTTTTGGTCCCTTTGATCACCTTACATTTCTTCCATTATAATCACCGGATTGTCAGGAACTGTCCTTATGGGGACCGAAATGAGATCAAAAACACAGAAGAACGTCATTTTGGAGTTTAGAGCTAAAGTGCGAACTGAGTTGTAATTAGATTAGGGTTAAACACTTAGTAGTAATAGTTAAGGTTAGGGATCAAGCTGCAGAAGTATTCACCCCATTGGTATTCTTTGCATTTTGTTGCTTTACAACCTAGGATTTATCTAAAAAAGTTCAATCTGGTCCTCTGGACATTCAAAAAACAAAACAAAGCAAAACAACAAAACAAAAAAAGTAGAAATGTTTCGTCTTTCATCTGAAAGACTTCCTCAGTCTGAGGTGCTGTAACAGCTCAGAACATCACATACAGAACACCATGGACTTTGTGGATAAGGTGAGGGATGTCATCATGGAGACTGATGAAACAATGGTCTCTTTTGATGTCACATCACTCTTTACGTGCATTCCTGTTGATGATGCAGTAGAGGTGGTCAGTTTAAGATTAAAATCAGACACCACTCTGAGCAGCAGGACCACGCTTTCCACAGAACAACTGGGTCAACTCTTGAAACTGTGCCTGCAGTCAACCTACTTCACATATGGGGAGCAATATTATAGGCAGAAACATGGGTGTGCTACGGGGTCTCCAGTTTCTCCTATTGTTGACAACCTGTACATGGAGGAGGTAGAAAAGAGAGCCTTGACGTCCTTTTCAGGGACACCACCAAGTTATTGGTTCAGGTATGTTGACAACACCTGGGTTAAAATTAAATCTCAGAAAGTCCAACATTTTACTGACCACATCAACTCTGTGGATAAATACATCAAGTTCACATGAGAAGATGTAAAAAATGGCAAGTTGGCTTTCTTGGACTGTGAGGTCTCAATCTCTGATAGAGGACATTTGCAAACTGAGGTGTACCGCAAACCCACCCACACAAAACAGTATTTGCAGTTTGACTCTCATCACCCTTTGGAGCACAAGTTAGGAGTCATCAGGACTCTGTATCACAGAGCAGACAGCATCCCCACTAGCTCAGGAGCCAGGCAGAAGGAGAAATCACACACAAGACAGGCTCTAGAGCAATGTGGATATCCTAACTGGGCCTTCCTGAAAGCAGAGAAGAAATCCAAACAGGACTCCAGTCAGCCATCAGGTGAAAAGGAGGAACCCAGATCCAGACCAGTGGTCATTCCATATGTTGAGGGAGTATCAGAGAAACTGAGACGTTTATTTTCTAAACACAACGTCCCAGTGGCTTTTAAACCCCAAAATACATTACGGCAAAGACTGGTTCATCCCAAAGATCCAGTCCCCCGGCACAAACAGAGTAATATTGTGTATGCTGTTCAGTGTCAGGAGGGCTGTGATCAGTCTTGCATTGGGGAAACAAAACAGCCACTGGCCAAAAGGATGGCCCAGCACAGAAGATCAACATCATCAGGCCAGGACTCTGCGGTCTAAACTCATCTCCAGGCCAGCGGCCACTCTTTCAGGGATGAAGATGTTCACATCCTGGATAGAGAGGAACGATGGTTTGAGAAAGGAGTAAAGGAGGCCATCTTTGTGAAAAGAAATCATCCATCATTAAACGGGGGTGGAGGCCTACGTGTTCAACTGTCCCCCTCTTACAATGCTGTTATTGCTAGTATCACTCACCCTCCTGTGAATAGTAAACAGCCATCAATATGCTAATGATTCATTGTTAGGCCGATGGTCCTTCTTGATCATGTGAGCAGCTGGTTTTGGTTGTCAGCAGAAAAACTGGTTGATCCACTCTGAGAAGGTGCTATTTATAAGACTGAGCTGGATACAGCACCTCAAACTGAGAAAGTCTTTCGGATGAAAGACGAAACGTTTCTACATTATTTTTGTTGCTTTGCTTTGTTTTGTTTTTTTGAATGTCCAGAGGACCAGATTTAACTTTTTTAGATTTTTCTATCTGCCCACCTGGATTTTTCCTCTGCTGCTTCTACCAGCCTCTTTACATGCCACGCCTCTCTCTGATTGCTGCTGATGGTTTCCACCTGTTTCTGGTTGTATATATACTTCCTGCTTTCTCCACTACATTGCCAGATCAACTGCTTGCTTCCAGCCACAGTTATCCGGCGTACTCCCTTTGTTCACTGCTCTTTAATCGTGATCCACGCCCATTTCCCTCAACCACACTTTTTGCCTGTCCCTTTTGTGCCTCAGCCTTCTGACCTTGTTTACGACCTACGCCCATTTTTGGATTTCGCCTTTGCCTCTCCCTATCGGTACCGTCTCCTCTTCGGATCCCGTGTATGAACCCTGCTCATCCTCGACTACGCCTCTGGAATGCCCTTGGTCTCTGCAGCTCTGTGTCTCCGCTGGAGCGCTCCGTTACAACAAGAAAGGTTAGCGTTTCATCAGACCGTCTGTTTTCAGACAACTACTCGTTATTCTGTCAAACACTAACCTTTCCCCTCTGTATCATTTTAGATACATTTCCTGCCCCTGGACCCGAGACACCAGAAGCTGTTTATTTACTCAATAAACATTTTAAAAACCTTTCTGAGTCTGTGTGTAGGATCCTCTGCCATCAGATCTTTGACAGTTGTACCATGTTATCAGAACCTTTGGAACTCTGGAATGTCCATGGACAACTCATCATCTTTGTTGACCTCTATGCATAAATTTATTACGATGTCATTGCATGTTGCATTTTTATGTTGCGAGGTCTTTTTTTTTTTCATCTTTCACACAGTTTCCTGGCCATGAATCTGTGTGAGACATGATGTTTTGGGGCTTCCTCCACCCTCCTGTTCTTTTTTTCTCATCTGCCTGTATGTTGTATGTAACAGGTCACTTGTAAATAAGTCTTCGAGGCTCAGTGGGAACTAACCTGTACAAATAATAATAATAACAATAATAATAATAATAATAATAACAATAATAATAATAACAATAATAATATAATAAACTCAGATGGAGCTGGGCAGCTCTGTAGCAAAGATGGAAATATCCATTCATAGTTTAAAAGTTGCTTCATACTTGGCAAGAAGTTGAGATCATTGCTACCTTCAAATTCTAAATTAATTAAAAGAAATGTACATTTTCTTAGTTTAAACATGTGCTGTGTTTAAAACATTCCATTATGAATAAAATACAGATAAAATAAGTTTTTTTTTTCTTTCCTGTTTTCTTTGACATTTTACTCAATGTCCCAATAGATTTAGAACTGGGGCTGCATTTGTAGATTACTTATAATGAAATTAAATATTTTATTAAAACTCTTACAACTTGTAGAAATAATGCATGTGTCTGAACTTCTATGAATAAAAAAGAAAAAAAGCTTCTGTAAAGTGGAGCTTCTCTTCATTAATGGAGGCTGAAGTTATTCTGCTGTTTCCTGCCAACAAACCAGAATCTGACGTGCACACTGTCCTGTCAGCTTGTGTTATAAATTCAGGTCACTATGATCCATATCAACATGTAAATCATAATCATTCATCTCTTTGCCATTTAGATTGTATCTTCTGCCAATGATGAATGTATGATGTATAGTATTTGACATTTTTAATATGTTCCAGTTCATTTAATCAAACTTGATTCAGTGTGATGTGTGAACCTGTCTGACCTCACACTCAACCTTTCCAGCTCTGACAACATTCAGCTGTCAATCTGGACCAGAACATTATGCCTCTCCTGTAAACTTACCAAGCTGCTCCTGCGTAGAGCCTTCCTCCACAAAAGTGATTCTCTCCAGGACGGCCCAGAACAGCACCCCGAGGGAGAAGATGTCTGCCTGCGCAGAATAGCTCAGGCCCCCCCAGACCTCCGGAGCCATGTAGAAGTCGGAGCCGCAGGTGGAGGAGAAGCGCTGCCTGCTGAGATCCCCGCTCAGCGCACCTTCGCTCATCTTACTCAGACCAAAATCAGCCACCTGAACACAAACAGTAAAGACTTCACATGTACCTGAAGTACACTCACTTCAAATGGAGCATTTTTTAGTCCTTCAACTTAAATAAAAAATAAACATGTTAAAATTAAATATAGAAAGAAGACATTTTTTTGGAAGAAATTATCATAACGCATTCAGACCATTAAGATGTTTCAGTGTATCTAGAAAAACAGATTTTATAAACTCTGTTTGTGATGTGTCCAAGATATGAAACGTTAAAGAAATGATCTCAACACAGCTGCAATTTTGTGCACGCCTACTATTACTTTGTGCCCTGAAATTAATTTGTGACAATCTTTAAGAAAAATTTTTTTTTTTTAAATGTTGGCCATTTTAGTGTTCACTGACTGACTGCTGTGTTGCTGTTCAATGATCAACATCTGGCTTGTTCAGAAGACAGTTCAGTGAAATGTCTGCATGGACCAGTTCTTCCTCCAATGCTTCAGAAATCACAGGTGGCGTCACACGTCCTCGTCCCGCTCAGGTGAGCTTCAAGCAGAACCACGAGGTGGAGCTGAACTGTGCTGGGCTGAACACGATGCATTCAATGTGCGTCAGACATCTCTCTGCTGTCATTTACTAAAATTAATTTAGTGATTCTCTTTGAGATGCAGCACAGTGGAGCAGTTGGTAGAGCTGCTGCCTCTCAGCTTGAAGGTTGCCGGAGCAAATCCTGGTCCGGGGACCTTTCTGGGTGCAGTTTGTATGTTACCATACCATACCATACCATACCAATTTATTTCTAAAGCACTTAAAATACAACAAGCAGTCGTCCGAAGTGCTGTACAAAATTAAAAACAAACAAAAAACAGTAAAACAATAAAAACATCTAATATACATTAAAAAAAATAATCAGAACATGATAAGTAAAAGAATACTGATGTCTGTTCTACATTTAATGTCTACAGAAGTCTGTCTTATCCTGATGGTTTCAAACTGTTAACATTTATTTATCGTGATAGTAGTTTCTTTTTTTCTTTTGATAAATGCAAATGCTTATTGTCAATTACTCTGTGACGTGTGCTGATGACCACTTGACCAGGTCACCCTTGTGAAAGAGATCTCGATCTCAACGGGCTCTACCTGGTAAAATAAAGGTGATTGATTGATTGATTGATTGAATACACCATTTAGGCACAGATGCTGACTCACTCTAGGTTAAAAGCCAATGAAAAAAAATGTGTTTTTAAACGAGTTTTAAAAAACAGAAAGTGACAGAGCCTGCCTGACCTCCGGTGGCAGCTCATTCCACAATTTAGGAGCCAGAGCTGAAAAGGCTCCGTCTCTTCTGGATTTATAAAAGGTTTTCAGGACTGCTAAAAGCATCTGGTCAGAGGATCTAAGAGCACGTGATGGTATGTAAAAGTGAAGCAGTTCAGACAAATAAGAGGGACTAAGACCGTTCAAAGACTTAAAAACAAACAGAACTTTAAAATGAATTTGAAACTGGACAGGAAGCCAGTAAAGGGACATCAGAACTGGAGTGATGTGCTCACGCCTGCTTGTACCAGTCAGAAATCGTGCAGCAGCATTTTGTACCAGCTGCAACCGTGAGAGCGAGGCCTGGCTAACTCCTATCAACAGAGTTACAATAATCCAGGCGTGAAGTAATAAAAGCGTGGATTACTGTCTCCAAGTGGTGTCTAGAAAGGGGGGGCTTGATTTTTGACAGGTGCCTCAGCTGAAAAAAAGAGGACTTAACCACATTGTTGACATGGCAGTCAAAGTTTCAGGCAGGGGTCCATTTTCACTCCTAAATTTGTCAAAATGGATTTTTCATATGGGGCCAAAGAGGAAAAATCCAAGGTGGAGAAACTGCTAGTGCCAGAGGATTTAAAAAACATAAGCTCAGTCTTCTTTTCATTAAAATTGAGGAAATTAAGTGTCATCCATCCTCTAATGTCATCAAGACAGTCCAGGAGAGACTGAGTGGAGCCATTTAGTTTCAAAGGGAAATAGACTTGACAGTCATCTGCATATAAATGAAACTGCAAACCATGCTTTCTGAAAATAGAACCCAGTAGCAGAAGGTAAAGAGAAAACAGGAGAGGACCAAGAATAGAGCCCCGTGGTACCCCCCAGGGGAGGGCAGCAGAAGCAGAGGTAAAATTATCCATCATCACACTGAAACTTCTATCAGAAAGGTAGGACCTAAACCACTGCAGAGCTGAGCCAGTGATGCCCACCCACTGCTCCAGTCTGGAGATGAGAATGTCATGGTCAACTGTGTCGAAAGCAGCTGTTAAATCTAAAAGCACAAGTAAAACACAGTTTCCAGAATCCAGTGCTAAAAATGTGTCATTTAAAACCCTTAAAAGAGCAGATTCAGTGCTGTGGTACATTTTAAAACCATACTGGAAGACCTCAAAAATTTTAAATTAATCCAAAAATGCCTTCAGCTGTGTGTAAACAATTTTTTCCAAAATTTTGGATATAAAGTGTAACTTGGAGATTGGCCTAAAGTTTGACAAAGATGATGGATCATGGCCAGGTTTTTTCAACAATGGCTGCACCACAGCATGTCTAAAATTGCTTGGTACCACACTAGACATCAAACTGCTGTTGATCACATTTAAGATAAAAGGAGCCAACAGTAGAAAATACCTCCTTAAGAAAATATGGAGGAACAACATCAAGGGGAGAACCCGATGATTTCATACTGGTGGCAAGTTTCTCTAGATGGGAGAGGGAAATAGGCTCCAAATGATCAAAAACAGCAGGACAGGGGACCAGGATGGAAGGGTCAAGGGATGGAAAAGAGATACAAGCCCTAGTGTTAATAACCTTGTCCAAGAAGAAATGAAGAAACTTATCACAAAGTTCTCAGGATGCTTCAAGAGGAACCAGTTCATGTGCATTGAGAACAGTGTTGATTGTATTATAAAGAACACCATGGTTGTGAGAGTTAGCAGCAATGATGCCAGATAAATATTTTACTCTGGCTGTTTTCACAGCTCGTTGATATAGACGCCAACTCTCTCTCAGTATATCAAAAGAGACTTGGAGTCTGTTTTTTCTCCACTTGCGTTCATTTCTCCTGCATTCCTGTCTAATTGCACGGGTATGGTCACTCAACCACGGGTCTGATCTTGGCTTTGATCGCCCGGTTTTAATCGGGGCCACATCATTCAATACAGTATTGCATAAAGAATCAAAATATAAGGAAAGCTCCTCAGTGCTGAGAGACACAGAGAGATGTGACTCTAAAAGATTAAAGACAGTGGAAAAATGGGCAGCAGAGGACGAGTTAAAAACACAGCAGCGTCGAGCAGTAACACAGGATTTAACAGGTTTAGAAACGGGAATAAAATCAAATAAAACAGGCATGTGGTCTGAAAACAATGCATCACCAATTTCCAAGTTAAAAATAGATAAACTATAAGATAAAACAAGGTCCAGGGTGTGTGTACGTTCATGGGTTGGGCCCTTCACTGACTGAGTGAGGCCAAAAGCATCCACTACATCTAAGAAATCCTTCACCAGCGGCTTTCCAGTGCAACACACGTGAATATTAAAATCTCCAAGAATTAAAATTTGCTCATATTTGGACATAAAATCACCCAAGAAATCAGAAAAGTCCCGTATGAAGTCCTTTTTATATTAGGAGGCCGGTAGATGACGGCGCACAGAAACGGAGGAGCGCAGCCCAACTCAAACATGCTCAGTTCAAAGGTAGAAAACACAGTCGGGAGGGACAGCTGCTTACAGTCAAAACTTGATTTATAAATAATTGCCAAACCTCCTCCACGACCCAAAGACCTTGGGGTATTAAAATATATGAGCAACCTTGGGGTAATCGTTCTGAAAAAACACTGGACTCACCCGGAGAAATCCAAGTCTCAGTCACGCAGAGAAAGTCCAAACCCTGGGACGAATAAAAATCCTTCAGGATAAAAGTTTTGTTTGTAACAGATCTTGCGTTTACCAGACCTATCCTGATGGGAACTGGGTCTGGCGAAGCAGAAGAAGGAGTAATCCGTGCAAGGTGTCGCAGATTTCCCAGGTTGGCGCCTCGCGAGTGCAGATGTGGAGGAGTGAGACGTGGAGGAAAGAAGCGTTGATCCGAGTCGATAACAGGTACCAGCCAGGAATCAACAGGGTCCAAGGAGCGTCGAGAAGCATAAAGTCCAGAGACTGATCCAAGCTGAGAGAGGAAGATTCCCAGCAATTTTGCCAAACCAGTCCTCAGCCTCACCAAGAGCTCGCCGCGTTTACCTCGACGCCGGTGACGCCTTCTCCGGCGAGGAGAGTGTGGTGCCCGACACAGGTAAGATAGAACTCCAGCCAACAGCGGGGGCAAACAATCGTGCTTTTCATGACAGCGATATAAAACTTTTGCAGTAGGCAGACGAAGCACCAAAAGGGTATGGGGATCATACACCAGTAGAGCGATCATACACCAGTAGAGTTCACATCGAAAAGCAGCACAGAAACAATAAAAACAGAAAAACAAAGAGCGGTAGACAACTCGCCAAACACACTGGCACCATCTTGCCACACCCCTGACATATCCAAACATCATGTTCTCTCTGTTCATGTGTGGGTTTTCTCCAGGTACTCCGGCTTCCTCCCACAGACCAAAAACGTATATTAGTCTGACTGGTAACTCTAAATTGTCCCTAGGTGAGAGAAAGAATGAATGGTTTGTCTCTGTGTGAGCCTGTGATGGCCTGGAGACCTATCTAGGGTGTCCCCTACCTCTCGCACAGTGATTGCTGGACATGGGCACCAGTGACCCCTGTGACCCAAAAAAGAAGAAGCGGGTAAAAACGATAGGGCTGGACAATAATTCAGTATTGATATATGTCACAATATAATTTAATTCAGTAACGGTGATATGAGTTTTAAGTACATTTTCGATATTTCGAAAGTCGCGACACAACTACGTAAGTGCGTGATGACGTACACCACAGCTTAAAGGAGTCAGTGGTAGCAAGCTAGGCTAAGCTCCAACACGCTGTAAGTCTTTGCTTCAAAATGTG